CCTGCGCCTTTCTGGCTTGGGCCCTAATGAAGCTGTAAAAGCAGATTATTGAGTAGATGAGTTACTGTATTTTATGTTGTAGAGTAAAACATGAAATGACTGGGACAACTGAACTGAAGTTCCAGAGTTTCTGGGTTTTGGTCTGCAAAAATATGCCATCCTTTCAGCACGATTTTCATTTTTGGGTGAACTATCCCTTTATATTTTTCTTGAATAGCTAGACGGATCAGCTGTGCAGTGGATGAACTGCAGGATGGGATCCCATTAAAGGAAAACACTGCCACTATGTGGTTGAATATTCTTAAACAACCATTGTGTAATGAATCTGAAGGGTTATATTGTTTTATACATTCTTCCTTGTAGATCTGCATTTATGTAACTAATTTAGCAGTGACTGTGTTTATTCAGTTTTATAAGATCATAAGAACACAAACACATCTCTGTCATCAAATGTAGTAAATGTTTACTGTGAAATGACCATGATACAAAACGGAATACCAAAGAGTACAAAAACATCTGTGATATTCAGAATGTTCATGTGAGCAGGTCAATCGGTAAAAATCTGTAAAATACAAATCAGAAGTGTACTTGCATTTTTTTTAAAATCTACAATTACCACTTTTAAACAATAAAACCATGTCGAGAACCTTATATTGCACAAAAGGCAAACTTTGACAGGATAAATGTTACCTGATAATGAGGACTACGCACAACAGATGTGCGGGAGATCTGCCTACAGATTCCCTGAGCTTTTTGTCACTCTCCCTTAAATATCCACAAGAACCCCATAGATACCAAATGGTATTGTCTGTTTATTGCAGCGTTTTAGCATATCTCTTTAGGGGGTTTCAAGTGAATTATCTTGATTTCTGTGGGAGGCTGTACCTCATTTACATACAGAAGGTATTTTGTGTGAAAGACCTGGGAGTAGTCTGTTTTCAATATTTATGGCTACCTGTTCTATTGTTAAGAGAATGAGACCCCTTTACCAGACACACAGAGACCTTTCAAACGACATCAAACATGAATTGTTGCATTGTTACAAACTCTGATTAAGAAAAGTGGTTTTGGTGATCTCTGCAGTGTCCTGTGTTCAGATGGAAATGAGGGGAGAGAGGGGAAGAGTGAAGGTGTGGAGCTTTTGTTTCTCTCAGTTGGGTGTATTGCTTTAGGCTTGCGAGACAGAGTTCAGATGTTGATTCTCGTGAGAGTTCCTTGTTTTTTCAGACTGTGACCTTCTTCTGAACCAGCCAAATGGCATCAATAATCTTACAGGAGCATGTAGTTCAAATTAGTTTTTTTACACCTAGAGTTTGTCAAAGGCACTTTAAAATGTATTCAATTTCACGCATCTTGATTTTTTTTCTGCAATAATTAAAATGCAAATAATAGATTAAAAAGACTTCAAAATCAATGTGTGTATAAATAAAAACAAAAGAAAATTAAACCACATTTGGAAAATGCTATGTTACAATATAAGTTCGGTTCAACAAAAATAAGCTTGTTTAGAATGTGACTTTACAAAACATATTTTTACAAGTCTGATAAGACAAAATTAAGAAATGCATCAAGTATAAAACAGCAAAGCATTGCACTGTATTGCACTCATACTGTACACAATGTGTCGTTCAGGCATTGCATCTATAGATGGATGTTTAAGGCCCACTGCGGTGTATCCTACACTTTAACCATTCAGTTTATCTTAGTCACATTTCTTCATCCCTCAATGCTGCTGTGAGTGTTAATATGTGTCTGTGTTATTAAGCAAGGTGCTTCAGCACGACCCAGCAGTGAAGACCGGACCATCTGAGGGGGATGATTTCAGTTCGCTCAAATAAAATAAGCAGATCAACTGCTTAAATCCATGTTGAAATAATTCCCTGGCCGTCGAGTCTTGGCACCTTCAAAGGCTCTTCACACAGAATGTTCTCAGGAGACCAGCGTTTCTCATTCTAGTGTCTTAAGGGGATGCTTTTCTTCTCCTGTAAGGACTGTGGAAACTACAGCTGCTCAATTCAGTGTACTGTGCCTGAAAAAATAAGAATAATTCAAGACATGAGAACCCTAGTAAAAAAGTAATATATTTAAAATAAATTTATGTCATACTAAGTATAGTTCAAACCTATTAACATTTACTGACATATCGCTCAAGATATAAAAATTAGCATTAAACTATATTTGGAGTACTACTTGTGCACTATGCACATTTCTTAATATTAAGCCTAAAATGTGTTTTAATGTCACTATTGATGAGGATTGTATGATGTTTGAATAATAGCAGTCTTTAAATGCAATATATTTAAAGTGTACCTATATTTGCAATAGTTCCACTTTAGCATAATCAAATATACTTCAGTATATCTTTAGTTGGACTTCAGCACTACGTCCGCAGTTATTAGTTGTTCCAAATGATCAGATTTTAAGCATACCAGTTTAGTATACCAAAAGTACAATTGCAGGGTATTTTTTATCGAGTACATACACATGTAAATGTATTTGAAGTATACTTAGCATGAAATAAATGTATTTCAAATGCATTTCAGTATAGTTATTTTTTACTAAGCTTCCAGACAAATAAGCAAATTGAGAAAAGGCAGTGCATTCAGTCATCTAATTGTAGACATTTGAAATTATTTATGCATACATATTTTTTGTTAAATTTCACCAGCTCTTAAATAAACCGCAATGCAAAATCTGAGGTGAGTGAGAGAGGTGTTCATTATTGTGTTGAATAATAGTATGTAGAATAAAAGGACTTCAATTCTTTAGGTGTACAACCTTGTTTTAAAAATGGACAAAATTACATATTAATTAGTTTGCTAAACTTTAAATTATACTGTATATTATAAATTATATTGGTATAATTTGGTAAAATTGTATTTTTAATTATATCATACATTTTAAATTAAATATATTGTATACATTATTAGCCAATAGCCTCATTCATACACAAAACATTATTACATTACAGGGAAAAAAAAAAAAAAAGCTTATTTGTGATAATTACCATTTGAACATCTGAAGGCACTCTGGAGAGGAAATCCATCACCTCATTGTTTTCAATGGCATATGGATTGCGCAGTTTCTTTGTAAATTTATGTATACCTAAAAAAAGAACATAATTATGACCAATCTCTACTGATAACCCAGAACTTCAAGGAACTTCAATATTTGTCATAAATGTGCTTCATTTGTTCAATGGTTTTACTGATTTAAAAAGAGATTTCTCACACATTTCTCATTGTTTGAGAGTAACACAGCTGTTATCTTACCCCATAATAAAATAATGTAGCGTACTGGAATAAAGTAAGTGATCACTGTAGCCATGGTGAGAACCAGGAAGGCCAGATTAGACAAGAACGGCACTGACCAGTTGAATGTACTGGGGAGAAAAAAAGAAAAATGTTGTATATGGTGTATCAATGCTAATGTGCATGCATTCTTTTGAATATTTGTACTTTCTGAATGCTAGTTTACTGACTAGCAACAGATATATCAGGAAGTGGCTAATATTTGACTCTTCTGATTATTGTTGTTGCACACAATAGTTGTGTGCTTTAACTGTTTAACAGAAGTTCAGTTTCAAAATATACAGACAATGGATAACGTACAATTTCAGTCGTTACAAATCATTCAACATTGAGTAAATACTGTAAAAAAGCTTCTTGTTGCTTTGATTAAATTTGACTAACTTATATATATACACACACACACACACACTATCATTCAAAAGTTTACCATTTCATAATACTGCTGTTTTTTAAATTAAATAAATTATTATTTATTAAATAAACAGTCTTTGGGAATATATCAGACTTCTTTCAGAAACATTAAAAAATCTTACCAACTCCAAACATTTGAACAGTTGAGCAACTGCGTGATGCTATCATGTCAATATGGACCAAAATCTCTGAGGAATGTTTCCAACACCTTGTTGAATCTATGCCACGAAGAATTAAGGCAGTTCTGAAGGCAAAAGGGGGTCCAACCCGGTACTAGCAAGCTGTACCTAATAAAGTGGCCAGTGAGTGTATATTATGCAATTAATAATTTTCTCTTAATATCCATTACAAATTTACAAACTTCAAAAGCTTGAATGAAGGGGTGAAAACAACACATACTTCTTTATTCTTTCACCAAAGCATGCAATCTCCTCCAGAAGGTTCTGGACCGTAATGACAATCTCTTGAACCATGTGAATTTTCTCCATCAAACCTTTTCTTTCTGATTCCTACAAGAAGAAACATTTCAAAAGACCAAGGACATAAAACGTCATGCTTAGTTACTGGAATAAATGAATGCGAGTAATTTTCTGAATAGGAAAGAATTATACCTTTTCATCTTCATCTTCCTCTTCATATAACTCCATGGTGTCCTGCAAAGGAATTTTGAATTTTATTTTTGAACATTTTACTCAATCAACGTAAACTCAGCACACCTGAAACGAGGATAGGTGCACGGGAACAAAATCAAACAAAAAGTTGAATCAAAAATAAGTAACGAACCCGCACACTATCAATACTTGCTAATTCTTATGGTTTCTTGAACATGACAATGAGTTCACTTTACTCAAATGGCCTCCACAGTCACCAGATCTCAATCCAATAGAGCACCTTTGGGATGTGGTGGAACGGGAGATTCGCATCATGGATGTACAGCCGACAAATCTGCAGCAACTGCGTGATGCTATCATGTCAATATGGACCAAAATCTCTGAGGAATGTTTCCAACACCTTGTTGAATCTATGCCACGAAGAATTAAGGCAGTTCTGAAGGCAAAAGGGGGTCCAACCCGGTACTAGCAAGCTGTACCTAATAAAGTGGCCAGTGAGTGTATATTATGCAATTAATAATTTTCTCTTAATATCCATTACAAATTTACAAACTTCAAAAGCTTGAATGAAGGGGTGAAAACAACACATACTTCTTTATTCTTTCACCAAAGCATGCAATCTCCTCCAGAAGGTTCTGGACCGTAATGACAATCTCTTGAACCATGTGAATTTTCTCCATCAAACCTTTTCTTTCTGATTCCTACAAGAAGAAACATTTCAAAAGACCAAGGACATAAAACGTCATGCTTAGTTACTGGAATAAATGAATGCGAGTAATTTTCTGAATAGGAAAGAATTATACCTTTTCATCTTCATCTTCCTCTTCATATAACTCCATGGTGTCCTGCAAAGGAATTTTGAATTTTATTTTTGAACATTTTACTCAATCAACGTAAACTCAGCACACCTGAAACGAGGATAGGTGCACGGGAACAAAATCAAACAAAAAGTTGAATCAAAAATAAGTAACGAACCCGCACACTATCAATACTTGCTAATTCTTCAACTTTATTAAACGCAACGTTTCGGTCCACTGACCATCATCAGGCCTATTGTTTTAACATTTTAAAATGTTAACAAGGTCTTAAAACAAAGCCATTCAATTATATCTGAGGTAACAATACTTATCGTAAATATGCAAACTGTGCCTATTAGGGTTGTGACGGTGAGGAAATTTTCCCACCGGTTAATCGACGTGTGACAACACTGGTAATACTGGTATCACCGTGGGGGCGGGGGCGTTCCCTCTTTTCCTCGCTTTCCTTCGCTTTTAAATAGCTTGTAAAAGCTGCGTGCGCATTTTACTTTCACTTTCAAATAGCAGCAATTCGGCGTAAAACAATTGTTCGTTTTTAGTTATAGTTTAAATAAAGTAAAAATCAGCAAACAATGTGGAACCAATTAAATAAGAAACGAATGTTTAAAAAACCTTCCAAAATCACCTTAGATAAACGACAAAAGTCAACAGGCGCTTTTGCATCTCGTTTCGAAACTAAATCATCCGCCATCGTCTTGTCTGTCTCACCTCACCTCACTCTTCTTGTCAGTCAGCTTGACTTGCTCTCCTCACTGGATAAATGAAATCTGATATGTGATGCGACTGTCGTTCAGCACGCTGCACTGAGCAGCCGCGTTCAGTTTTTAATTGTAGCGTCTGTTCTTTTACCGAACTAAATGATTTTTATTACTATAAAAAATCTAAACGACGGTGGGGGTCAGTGCCGCGGTGGGCAAGTGACATAACCGGTGTTGCGGCTTAACACCGGTATCACCGTCAGCACCATCTATCACGGCAAGCCTAGTGCTTATTCATGTCAGCCTATCACATTTACATTCAGTATCAAAATTACCAAAACAAATGCTAAACTAAATTCTTACTCTGGTTGATATTCTGCAATGAAAGCCACCACAAGTGTTACTAAAATTTATCAAAAAAATTAAAATCACCCACTAGGTCTCTGGTGACTCTCTCAGAGGCGATCTGGAGATAGTTCCACACAATGAGAAGGACCATGAACATGGGCAGCATGTAGAAATCCCAGTACCACACAGTGAGAACAAAGACCTGAAGGAAAACACATGCAGGATTCAGGCTTTCATGAAGACTGAGACTAATGAAGGGTGACATATTCGTCATATATTTACATAATCCCAATTCTTCTATTAACAGCTCATGAATGTGAATAAAGATACATGATCAACTATTAAAAAAGTTTCACTAGATTAGACTCTTATTTGTAAGGTAAGCTGCTATAAAAAGTAACGTCTCCGTTACGTATGGTAACCCTCGTTCCCTGAAGGAGGGA